CAACTGAAGAGAGATGAGTTTTATGTCTTCTTTCATTAATTGTAAAAGAGAGAACTAGCTGAATACCTATAATTGGTTTTTTTTTTTTTTTTTTTTTTTTTGTGACTGGCCGCACCGCGCTCAGCCAGTGAGCGCATCGTACCGGCCATCCCTATATAGGATCCGAACCCGTGGCGGGAGCGCTGCTGCACTCCCAGTGCTGCACTCTCACGAGTGCGCCACGGGCTCGGCCCTATAATTGTTTTTTCTAAGAAAGATGGTGAAGGAAATTGTTTCTATTTAATCTATCTGTAAAAACAAACATACAAAATTTATTTTTTATTCCCAGATTAGAAATGATATTTGCCAAATTTGATGAAGTGCAAAGTTCGGATGGTATGGTTTTGAGTTTCTGCAAAGGTAAGAATAATTAAGTTATTCTAGCTCTCAAACATTTCTGAGATTATTTAGTGAAGTTTTAGACACTGAAATGTGTTTTCAAGTTGACTGTTATATCACTGGTTCAAAAGAGTTGATTTTGGGCCAGCCCGGTGGCGCACTGCTATAGTGCGCCGCTTGGGAAGCACGGTGGTGCTCCCGCCGAGGGTTCGGATCCCACATACGGACCGGCCGCTCACTGGCTGAGTGAGGTGCGGGAGCAACACCAAGGGTTGCGATCCCGTGGCCGGTCCCGGTCCGGTGCAGACGCGACACTGGGGGTTGCGATCCGTTGCCAGTCACGAAAAAAGACAAAAAGGAAAAAAAAAAAAGAGTTGATTTTGTGGCTTGAAAACTTCATTGGGATGTAATAACAAAATCTTTGCATCCTGCTGATCATTACCTATCTCTGTCTCTTTTGAAGTGAGTGAAAATTTAATAATGGGTCAATTGTGTAAAATGCTATTATTCTTTTGCTTATTTTCTTTGTCTTCTGAGTTGAAGGTATGATGACCCTCTTGCCCTCCATATTCCATGCATAAATGTGTTTTTATACCCAGAGTAATTGTTTTACTTAGTTGTTGTTAGTGGAAATTATAGGGTTGATGGGAACTATTACACCTTTGTGCAGACTATCAGTCGTGGTATTGGTGAAGAGGCTTCTTAAGTAGAATGAGACCAAGCTGGAATTCAGGGAGGTTTGGAGTTAAGTGTCTGGCATTGATTTGATTTTGTGGCTCCGCTCCTTTTTGTAAGATTTATAAATTGTGTTTTGTTTTTATTGGGTAGCATTTACCTAGACTTAAGTCTTTAAATAGTAATTAGCCATGTAGGAGAATATGTTCTATTTTCAAAGATAATATAGATGCTTTTTTCACTTAGGGAAGTAGTTTCATATTAAAGAGAGTATGGTTAGCTTGGTAATGTAAATGATGGAGGAAAAAGTTGGTATATGAGTTTATAGTCAAATAAATAATAGGAGAACTAGTCACTAATATTTAGTTATTTTTCTCTGGATTAAACGAAGATTGAGCGGGAATCTTCCTGTGTTGGAGGAAGTTGCAATGGAGTGAGAATTTAGTGTTGAAAGATTGTCTATCCTAATCTAATCTTAATTTGAGAAGCATAACTTGACTTCAGCACTACCAGTCCTTACCCTGAATCCCAGCTGTTTCTCAGTTCTCTTCTCTGCATAGAAGGTATTTAAAGTACCTCGTCTTATTTTTCTAGCAGTTACCTATGTCCATTTCTATAAAAACAGTAGAAAAAGGAACTGTTGTTAAAATTCCTTGAAGTGAGACTTGTGTGTTTTCATAACATTCTCATTAGTGTATTCCCGATAATGTAGTTATACCTCTAAGGAAAAAAGTATAATACATATTATAGAATTTAAGGTATTCATTGTCTGGATATGGTGTATTTTTAAAGCACTGTTATTCTTTTATTTTGTGAGGATATTTCTGTTACCTTCCAAATGGAAGCTTTTTTGTTCCCTGTTCTTTTAATTTCCATTTCTTTTTCTATTGTTTATCTCTCCATAAACAGGGAGGTTTGGGATTTGTATTTGGCGTTTATTTTTCTTGGAGAGAGTATTCACAGATTATATTGGAGACTACAATCTGAATATTGTGAATATGGTCAAATGTGAAAGTTAAAGTCTATAATATATATATTGGGTATAGAAATTGGTCATGATGTTTTTGATGACAATATTCTGCTATCACTGAAAAATACTTTAATGAATTAGTTAACAAGGAAGGAGTCTAGAAGAATGAAGCCCATTTGTCATGTTGGCAAGTCCCAGGACCCTGGCCTCCTCTCCCTGTTTTTATTGTCTTTCTTAGTGATCTAATCTAGCCCAGAGGCTTTAAATAATAGCTATTTGATGATGACTCCCAGATGTGTATTTCTAGATGTCATTCATCTCTCCTCTTTGCTCTTGACTTGGTAGCTCATGGCCTTGATGACATTTCCATTTGGATGCCTAACAGGCATTTCAGTCTTACCGTGTCCAAAAGTGAAACCCTGAGTCTTACCCATCAGCTCAAGCTAGAAACCTTACTTGACTCCCTATTCTAACTAATCAATCATTTATTCCACTGCAATGCTAATGTATCCGAAATTTGTTTATTTTTTCCATCTCTACTGCTTACACCCTACTCTGAGTCTCCTTTAGTTTTTACCTGGACCACTATAGTAGACTTCTGTTCCATGCTTGCTCCATTTGCTACCCAGAAGTTAGAGTGATATGCTTAAAATATAAATTAGATCATGTCACAACAGTGAAGATGACAATTAAAATTTCTACCCTTAAGGAACCTGTGTTCTAGTGAGAGAGATAGGTCATAAACAAGTAAACAAATGTATATACAATGTGATTATACAAGTGGATATAAAAGTTGGTACTGGAGGATATACAACTACTCCTTGTTTAATGAATTTAAATTATTCCTAAAAAAAATTATGGTGTGTTTTATCTTAACCTAAGATACTTGAATAATTTTCACGGGTAGAAAAACATATGAATTGAACACTGAAAACAAATTTTTATAAGTAACGACTTGAAGGCAAATAGCTTGTGCATAAAGTAATGTAATGAAGTTTAATTCAACTTTTTAAAAATTTCTGCCCAGCTTTTTACCGCTGAATTTTCAGCCCTTTGTTGGTTCATTTTTATTATGCACTCAAACTAAAATTGTAAAATAAAATTATAGAACAGGAAAACATTTTAGAGCAAAAGAAAGGCTCGGCATGAAAACTTGTGGCAGTAGTTTGTGCACACAACAGACTAAAGTGCCATTAAAGATACTACCTCTTCTCTCTCTCACTTGGTGTACTTATGCAAAGCAAATTGTTTTGGTTTCCGTCAAACATGGCACACAATTCAAATTTGTTCCACATGATATTGTGTGACCAGTAACTATTATGGTAAGTAACGTTTTTTAGTGTGCTTTTACCTGAAACCATAATAATAAAACATCACACATCTTATAGTATATTGATTTAGAGTGTTTTGTAATGAAAAAGTCGTTTTACTAAATAAATACAGAAAACAAAAACTAGAAGATTTTCTGTAAAGGTGGTATATCTTTTTTAGAGCCATTATAGCTAGAAGTTGTCATTGGAATAGTCATTAAGTGAAGTAAATAGGATATTGAGGTGGTAAATAACTCAGTGAGGTCACTTTAGATAAAATAGTGGGGCAAGCCTCTTTGAAAGGTGATATATTTGAATTAAGACCTGTTAAATGAGAGTGGAGGGGAGACCATGTATGAGATGTAGTTGGAGAAGTGAGCGGGAATCATGACATGCGGGCCTTGTTGGCCATGGGAGGAGTTTTGTTGGACTTCTAGGAATAGGAAGCCCATAAAGAGTTTTGGGCTAGAAAGGGATCTAGAGAGGGATGTGGTGAGTGGGAATGATATGATCTCATACTATATTATTTGCATTTATTGTTCAGAGAAATAGTTTGTTTTTTTATCTTGTCTCTTTATTCTACCTCTTCTCCCTTGAGGCATGTCTTGATATGTAACTTTTACATCTCATACTTTTGTCTATGATTTCTTTCATACTTGCCATATCTACAGTCTTTTAAATTCCCATGATTGAATTCTTTAGTTTGATTTTCTAAAGCACTAGTTCAGCAAACTCAAGAACCCTCAGTAAACTATATCATCAGAGATTTGAATATAACATTTAGTTTTGGAATAGGAAGAAATGCACATTTTTTTGTCTTGAGGGTTTTTCAAGCCTGACTTTAATTCTCATATCACAAAAATAAGTTAGGCAGAGTCCTTAAGTACAGTAGAATTAGCTGTGATATTAGAAGGAAACTGGATTTAAAATTAATCAGACTGCGGCTGAAAGGAGGCAACACCAGCGCTGTAGGAAGGAAAAGACTGAAGGTTGGAGGCCCCCTGTGATTATGGCAGGGTCTGGTGTCATCATGGAGCTTTCTAGACAGTCTCCTACACTAACCAAGATGTAAACACGAACAATGTTGGTGGCTGTGATTGCAAATCTTTTTCTTTTCCATTGTGGGGAAAAAAAACCTGTGCATAATTCTTATTTGTCTAGTGTGTGTTGGACCTAATGCAGTCTTGGCATTTAATCACTGTAAAGTATTTTCTAGCTACTCTGTTTGAAACAGTCGTTAGGAAAAGAATTGCCTTAGAGGCTGGCAATAAAATAAAGCACAGAAATTAGCCTTTGAAATTACCTTATTTTTGTCTCTTGTGAGTCAGTAAGGTAACTTTCAGTCTAGTTTTGTATATTTTTATAACATACCCTTAGATGAAAAGCAACGCAGCTCTTTTCTTAGGTTGATTTTGAAATGTATCTGTTTGTGACCATGAGCTCCAGGGCCTTCTCAGAGCTTCACAATGTGCTGATGGTTGTGCAGCTTGGATAGAGGGTGCTCTGCGCCCCTGCAGCTGCGCACTGGCTAGGTTCTGTCTCCTCAACCAGAAGCAAGCTTTGTTCCGTGTGGCCCCGCTGTCCGCACACAGAGCAGCCTTTGATGGGCTGCCTTTGACGTGATTTGTTTACGGCAGCCAGAAATGCTTCCTGAATAATGAGAGCAGTTAATCATGGAAACTGGGCTATTCCTGTTTGTGCACTTCTAGCAATCTTCTGTTGTAAATATTAAAAGGTAACGACAAAAGGATGAAAACCATTTTTAAAAGGCTCAAATCAATTAATCCATCAGATCATGTGATTGCTACTGATTACATGGATATCTTTAGGGAAGCAGAAAATGATTGCTGAACACATGCCTTGTGTTTTGATGATTGCATTAAAAGTCCCCCATTGGGATGGCATTTACTGGTTCCCAGAGCTTTTCTTAGATTAAATTTCAGGCAGCTAGTACAAGGAGAAACATCATAACCTGTATCTAACAGCGTATGTACAGTTAAAGAATAATCTTGATCAAGCCCTGCTAGGCTCTGCTAAATAAACGAAGGTTTTCAGCAAGACCCCAGACTTTTATTTTGAAGTGGAGTAGCAGCTGTTGGCTATTGCGGTACAGAGCTGCAGCGCGGCCTGGGTCACACAGTGCTCCGGGTGTCTGCAAGGCTGCAGGCCGAGCCCAGTGGCGCAGGCACTGAGCTGCACTTATTTGCTGTGCTATTTGACCTCTTGGTTTGGGAGAGCTCCCTGGACCATCTGAATGGCTATGGGAGATGGTGAGTAAGATTTATTTTCCTTCTTTTGCTTGTGTTATACACTTCCTTTTAAGGTGGCGATCATTTGCTGTGTAAGAAATATATTTCTCCCTAAAGAATGAAGGACACTTGTGTGTTTGTATGTGTATACACTCGTGTGCATTTATGCATGTGTGTGCTTGTCATTTGGTATCATTTTTCACTTGATGTATCTGTATGGAATCTGGCAGATAAGGTGACAATTTACCTTGCAAACCAAGCGAGCCTTTAGTCTTTGGTGATGGATATGAAAGGATATTGGAAGTAATGCAGAATATATGCAAAAGCTTTGAAGGGACATGGCCTTTGGAATAATGGCAGATTTTGGCAGAAGGATTTGGTTAAGCTAGCTTGACATCTTTCCTGTTGTATTTGACACAAGAAGAATTCTGTGGTAATAAAATATTTAAAGAAGCACAGTGGCTTGCCATAGATACTGTTTTAATTAATATGCTTGTGATTTGTCAATGTCCCTAGTAAGCAGTCCTCTAGAAAATGTTTAGCCTTCTAAGAATTCTATATGGGGTATAATTTGATTAAAAATTGATTTTGCCGGTGTTTTGTTTTAAAAACAGATTTCTATAGTGCTTTATAGCTTTCCAAAGCACTTTTGTGTACTTAATGTACATTAACTCCTCAGGTACAAATGACTCTCTGAAGTGTACGGAGTATTTTGATATTTCCATTTCACAGAGTGGGAAACTGAGGCTTACTGAGATGATATGTCCCAGATCCAGGCACAGAAATCAAACCAGCACCAAATCTAGAGTCCCAACTGTGCATTTGTTATTGTCCTTCATGACAATACTTGAGCTATTTTTTTTCATCATTAAACCTTTTGTTAAGATGCTTAGAGATATACTTTATAATCACATCAACATCAGAGATGTATAGAAATGAGAATTTGAGGTTTCTCAAAAATGTTTTGCATGTTTCTTGCTAGGTTCTTAAGGAAGACTGGTCTATATTTGGGGGTTTTAACTCTAACAGTTTCAGCCTTTCTTTGACTGTATAATGACCTCTTCTCTCTAAGGAGTTTGTCCCCTTGGGGCTGTGAGGAACAAGATGCAAACTCACCAAAATGATGATGTTGGTAGATAGTCATTTAAACTAATGTGCATTTGTATGGAAATGTGATAATAAGTTTGGTTTTGCATATTGTTATGATTTATCCCAAGAGTTTATATAACTGTTTTAATATGACCTTATGGAAGTAAATAAGAATAATTTTAACTACTAATTTTTAAGGCAAAAGACATTGAAATTAACAAATTAAGTTGTCATATCATTAAGGGCATTGCCAAGTTTCTTTCTTTCTTTCATCAGACCTTAATCTGCAAGCAATTCTAAATGTTGCATTTGATTTGGACCACATCCAGATTTTATTTTCTTTCTTAAATATTTTAGATTCAGTGGTTATTGATGTATATTTACTTAGGTTTTCTTTCTTCAAATAATATGTAAATACATTTGGACTATTTTGCAATATATTGATTTTTCAGGAAAAAATCAAAGTAACAACCTGTTATAAAGCTCAGAGGGTAGCCTTCCAGCTAACTCTCTTCTTTAAAATAGAAATACTTTTTTTGGATTAAAATAATATATCCTTATAAAAAATAAAAAATCTAAACAGTGAAGATATGTATGTAGGAAGAGGTTATCTTGGGATTTATAGTTCTTAACATTTTGATACATACTTATCTGTATAGGAGTATTAGTCTTTCTCCCATACGATGCACACATACCACACCAGAATCATTTGAACATATGTAACAAATGAATTACACTGTTTCTAACCTATGTTGTTTTTTATTTCTTAATTTTAATTATGAACTTAAATATATAAATATCATCTTCTTTTCAAAATTCAAACAATGAAGATAAAGCAAAAATCCCTTCCGAGCCACTTCTAAGTCTTAAGCCCAGGTATAAGCAGAGGTGAACTTTTGTTAACATAGAGTGTGTCTTGTCATACCTTTTACTGTGCCTTTACATACATATTAAGTATCAAATGGTTTTGTTTTGACTGTGTTTACATTAATTATATCATTCTGAATGTGTTTTTGCCTTTCGCTATGTCTGCTCAATATGGCATGGAGTTTTTTTTTTAAATGCCATCATGTGTTACTCTGCCTTATTTGTTTGAACTGTTACATAGTATTCCATAGTATGGATGTATCATAACTATTCCATCTTTTATGGAATTTTAGATTTTTGCCATATATAATTTTTCTAAATTGTTCTGACATAAACACCTTTGTACAAACTATATGTGTTTTTTATGCACACATATATATTTCCTAAAATAGTCTGGAAGTGGAATTTCTGGATCAAAGTTTTTATTCATTTTAAATTATGTTACCTATAGCTAATTTGCTCCAAAAGAGGCTTTACCACTTACATTCCCACTATATGCCTGCTACATTCTTTTTATTTTTTGTTATTATTAATCTTTTAAAATTTTGCCTATCAGATGGGTGAAAAATATCTCACCCTTTATAAAACATCTATGCTTTTCTGGTAAGGCTAATCATCTTCATATGTTTGGTTATTTGTATCTCCTTTTCTGTGGATTGCCCCTTTACATTTTTAGCCAACTTTTTGGTGGTTGTTTATTTATAGCTGTTCTTTATATATTCCAGTTATTAATGTATTATCTCTTGAATGTGTTCTATAAGCTTAACTTCAGGATCATATGTAAGATTTCATTAGCAGTTTTATTTCTAGGCAGACTTGGATTTGTGAAGCCCTGTAATGGATATCTCTTAAAGAAATGTTGGAGTTGGCTTTTGGGTGCTTTTTGGTTTAGTTATCTTCATTCTTACCCAAGAGTGTAAAACCAAGTAGTCGGATAATTGTGTAGTAACTCTGGGCAATTAAACCAGATGGGGTTAAAAACCTGTAGGATTATTATGTGGTGCTGAGCCCTGCAATTTGCCTCAAAAGCGCGCGAGAGGAATTTGGCCTTTTGTTGTTATGCTGCAGAGTCGCTGGAAAGAAATAAGGTTTTGTTGTAAATAGACTGTTTCTAAACTTTTAACATTTCAACACAGTCTATTCTTCCAAAAATGAATCTTTCAAAAATATATACAAGGATGGTATAATCATAGCTTTCTAGATGTCAGCCTTCTCAGACCTTTGGGCTTCTGGGACCGCTCCAAAATGACATATAACTGTTGGTTTAGGTTGTATGGAACACTGGCAAGAAATTAATGCTGCATAGATCTCTCTTCTTCCATACTCTTGAATATTCTTCGTGATACACTAGGAATAGGCAATTTAAATCACTGAAAGAAAACAACCCTTTGACTTACTAGCAAAAAGGCCAAACTTTTTTTGTAGGAGCAATGATAAAAAAAAAAGAGTCTGTAAGGAGTAAAAGTAAATTACAAGGGACAGAAGATTGGGGATTAGCAGCAATATAGGCAGTAAGTAGTGGGCACTAAGATTGAAAATAGCCAATGACGGGCCGGCCCGGTGGCGCACTGCTACAGTGCACCGCTTGGGAGTGCGGCGGCGCTCCTGCCGAGGGTTCGGATCCCACATGCAGACCGGCCGCTCACTGGCTGAGCGAGGTGCGGGCGCAATGCCGAGGGTTGCGATCCCGTTGCCGGTCACGAAAAAAGACAAAAAGGAAAAAAAATAAATAAATAAAATAGCCAATGACTAAAATGAAGACTTATAGTACCTCCCTGCCATAGACATTGGAGGCCTTGGACAACCATCCTGTGCTTCAGGTCTGTGTTAAGGGTGTCTGTCATCTATGCTGTTCCTTTGAATAAGTCGTAACCTTCTTGACACAGTCCTGTTTACCCACCTGGGTGCAAATGGTTGGGCACCAGTAGCAACATATCCTCAAACCTGATGTTAAAAAACTTGAATCTTTAAGAAAATTACATCTTTTCTTTATACATATAGAATGGTGTAGTCGATGTTCTTAGCAGCTGTTAGGATCAGCCTGTAGCTGTCTTGAAAATTTAGTTACCTGAAATTATTAGATTTTGTAAAGGTTCTAAGTAAATCTTATTATGAGCCTCATTTATTATTTATTTTGATATTAGGGTTATCATAACATATGTTTAATTTTATTAATAAAATAATGGTTTAAATTGTGATTGTCCCTTTATTTCATTGAAATATGAAATATGGGCCGAGCCCGTGGCGCACTCGGGAGAGTGCGGCGCTGGGAGCGCAGTAGCGCTCCCGCCGCGGGTTCGGATCCTATATAGGGATGACCGGTGAGCTCACAGCACTCACTGGCTGAGCACGGTGTGGCCAGTCTCAAAAAGGACAAAAAAAAAAAAAAAAAAAAGAAATATGAAATATGTTTAAGGTCTTGAATTTTAAAGTGGCCCACTATGAAGCAAAGGATAAAAGTTTTAAAGTATGTTTTTAGCTAGTCAGTTATATGTACCTAGATATTTTAAAATATTTTATCAAATTTCTTGGCCTCTATTAAACTTTTTGTGGAATGTACTTTATTTTTTTATAAATAAAATAACTATATTTAAGATTAACTGTGCTGTTGAGAACACAGTATCTCCATGTGAATATTAAAATTTAGATAGTCTTACTTTAAAACACTTGAATTTTTAATTTCTAATACCTTTACTGAAACTTTTAATTTTAGTTTAAACTGAAGACATAATTTAAATTTTTACTGTTTGGTTCTTTTACTTCTAAAGGCTTGTGATTTTTTTAGCTCTGGGAAGTTTTCTCCTATTATTTTTTTGAGAAGTTTCTTCACTTTATTAGCTTTAGTCTATTCTTACGGAATTGTTACTAATCAGATGTTGGACCTCCTGGGTTGATCCACTGTATCTTTTATGTTTTATTTTTTCTCTCAAGTTTTACATCTTTCTCTTATTCTGTGTTCCAGGAGATATACTTGACTTTCTCATCCAATCCTTCTATTAAATTTTAACTTTAACAAACAGAAGTTTAAATGGTCCCCAAAACTTTCTTTTTTCTTTTCTGGTGGT